CCCCCCCCCCCCCCCCCCGCCCCAACAAAAAACAACCCACCAATATCATCTTCCACTGTGAATCTAATTCCCTCCACCCAATGCACAGTGATCTTAATACACACAACATTGCTAAGGCTAATGATCCAAAAGCAATAAATGAATTCTTTCAACCACACAAAGAGGTAACAGAAGGTAGCAAGTTATCATACAGTCTAAGAAAAGGGAAGAGACTTACTATCTTTAGGAGCTGGCCCTTTGTACTGACTGCGAATTGGCAGTAACGCCATGTTACCAATTAGTCTTGGAGGATTGAGAAACTGGGAATGGTAAGCCTGAAAAAAAATTTAATTATCAATGAAAGGAGTCCCATTGAAATGATAAAACTGAACTCAATAACACACATGATATTGATAATAAAGAGCGTAGAGGATAAAAATGACAATCAGAAACTGTTGTAATTTCTCCTCTCAGTAAGTCATCATGATGTAGGGCAATATGGACTTGGACAGTAAGCACGGCACACATTAATCATTAAATTAAAATATTATTAGAGAATCTAATCTTTTTTTATTGAAATTGGGGGAATCTAGAAAGAAGAAATAATAAATTAGACATATTGGAATCCAGATTCGCTGAACAGACGGTACCATATCATCATGATCTAGATCTAGTATATATAGAGGTAAGAACGGTGTGTACAAGTTAGGATAGTTGTAACTGGTAGTGGTAAGAGTCAGCAAAGCAGATATCTGCTTGGACTGGGTGTGCAAGCCTTCACGTAATTTTAAAACAGGACTGAATCTCTCTCACCCCATCCCAACTCGCCCCAAGCCAGTTCCAACCTACACTAGTCCTAGACAGCTATTATGCCCAGAATCTTTTATAAAAAGACAGATAAAGTATGAAGTCAACAGTGATGCACTAAAAACTTGTACACGTGGGTTTGCAAGCAGTTTACATTATTACAGGCTGCAGCACGCAGAGCTCTGTTCAGGAAGAAACCACAAGGTAAGAGCAAATTCTTACAAATTTTGGGTGACATTGGCATTGGTTTGGTGTTTCACACACCACACACACCATGCCATGAATGCCATGCATGCACGCACAGGCACACCCATACAAAGAAACACATTGTGACTCTTCCTTAATATTTTGGCCTGCTTCAAGCGTTCCATCCCATGAGACGAAGGAAAACGAAGCAGTGATCCTTGACCAATCGATCATTCGTCATTTTCCCTTACACTGAGCTCTGGCTCAGAGCTCGACAGTGTAAGGGAAAACAACGAACTCTCAATTACGCACCAACGCATTAGGTCAGGAATATATGACAAAAATGTATAGGCCTATCAAGATGTTTCAATTGCCCTATCTTGTGTCCGGGCGCGACTTGGGTGCGACCTTGTGTTAGCGCGTGACGGCCCGTAATATAGGAGTGTAAACAAAAGTTCCAGATTCCAGTGATTTCGAGTTGAAATTGAAAGCGAGCAAATTTCAAGTCTGCGAGCAGTGTGTGTGTGTATGAGAGAGAGAAAGAGAAAAAGAGAGGGGAAGAGAGAGAGAGAGAAG